CCAAGCCTTAATTCCTGCTTAATTGGAAATCGCCCCGTCAGGAAAACTAAAAGAACGGGCTTGAACACTGACCAGGGCTTACGAATCATTGTTTGGACCGAATGAACGGATAACGTTAATACCGTTTGCAAATGAGGCTCTCATTCTTAAACAGGATTAGCCGGTGTCAAAATCATAATCCCTTAATCAACCGCACTCTTCATTTTTGACTTGCAATTAGTAGATGAAACTTACAGTACATTCTCGAAAATCAGAAAATATTTGCATCTCTAGCAAGATTTTGACTTGCGATTAGTAGATGAAACTTACAGTACATTCTCGAAAATCAGAAAATATTTGCATCTCTAGCAAGATGTAGGATAATATTTGAAATGTGAAAGAATCCCATTGTAAACTACTTCACAATGGGTGCCCATGTACATTCTCGAAAATCAGAAAATATTTGCATCTCTAGCAAGGTGCAGGATAATATTTGAAATGTGAAAGAATCCCATTGTAAACTACTTCACAATGGGTGCCCATTACTTAGAAATAGCTTATTATCAAGTTCCCATGTACAGTGAAGTTATATTCTCATAGGCCATGAGGGAACACAGCAACATAAATACAGAAATCTCAATTCTTAGGCCACTTCGACCCTAGATCTTTCCCATGTTAGATCGGAGACCACACCTAGGATCCTCTGAATTAGTCTAGGATGAAATCATCCTGATTGGAAAGCATGGAAATGAAAAGCTTAGTGATATGAGCTTTTTCGAAGGAAATCACGAATGTTCAGGATTTTCTCCTTGATATTGCTATCGTGGCCACTACGAATCTATGCCGAATGTCGTACGGCGATGCTCAACTATCAGGTCACAAAACTCTTCGGAACCTGCTATTTAAGGTTCGTTCCACGCTTCATATCAATAGATCTCGATTTATTGTATTTACTTCTCCATTTACTCAATGCATACCTTAGGAATATGCTCTCAGAGTTAGTAGGAATCACGGAAAATCATTACGAATATGAGGCAAGGAGCAGTGATTTATGATAATGGCGAAGGATATACTCTCAACAATCTTTCCGTTCAGAAACCTTTTTGAAGGGCCATTTACCGGATAGTCGCGTGAATGATTTGAATTCATAAGTGCCTGATTTGCATTTTGAAAAAAGGGCAAGTTGATAAATGGGCAAACTAAGGACGTGGCAAGGGTTTTAGATAAGAAATCCTTTGGGCCTCACCATCAAACCTAGGGATCCTCCAAGAAAACTCCTGTATACGATTATTCCATAAGCTGTAAGTACTTTATTCAACAATGTTACGTAACAAGAGCTTCCTATTACGATGCTCCAGGAAGCTCTTGTTTCCTCATAGCAGACCCATTTAGTCCCATTTTTCATTGTCCTTCCATGCCCGTTCCACTCCACTGGGTCCGGTACATCTGGGAGAGCCGAGCTGTCGGCCGACCTCTCAAGGGAGGTGCTAGCGGAGCCTGATATCCCAGAAGGTCGTTCGAAAAACGGATTTGAACCACTGATTGCACTGCAGCAGCTTACTTCTGGGATCTCATTTGTCTTCCATTTGTTCATCAAGTGGCCCTTGCGGACGTCATTATTGCCTTCAATTGTTTCTGTTGCGTGTCATAGCCATTAGAAAAACGGTTTACATTCATAAAACCCCTGTCCGCAATTTTAGTAATTCGAATGTTTCAACTAAGTCCCACATGGATGGCAAGAGGTTCAATATGCAACTTGGTTTGGGGGTTCTTGTTGGGTAAACTAGATAAGCTTCAGGAAGCTTGGGAAGATGGTTGGATGTGAAACGATTATTATCTTCAATTACCCTTTCACACCATATATTTGGCTCATCCACTACAAAACCACCTCCTCTCAGCAGAATCTTCTCCAGGGTTTCTTTTCGTTGTGTTATACGGTGAGAAGACGAGCTGTAGTCGTTGCCATTATCGCACTACCTGATAGTACCAGCGCACCAGACAAATCGGTTTGATGGACAGTTTTGAATGTATCTGAAAACTGGACGGAGTCACATCAGTAGTGGGTTCCAGAAGTGAAATCGCTGCTATCAATCTCTCCCTGCAGCAGCCGATTAGGCCAACAAAAAATTGTGCACGACACTTTCACATGGCGGCTTGTCTTAATACTTCTACTTACATCATGAATTGCTTCTGTACACTAGAAATCTTCGTTCAGCCCATCGTCAGTGAATTATACGGGTCCACTAACACGAACTTCGACAATGGAGACGGTGGAGCTTGAAGCAGCTCTGGGGAGAGAACAATACTTTGTGGTGCCGTCGTATTCGGAAGCGATGCTGATGCCAAATGCCACAGTGGTAAGAGCTTCAAAACTCCGCTGAACAATTCCTACTACACAATCATACCATTCAGACTCTTGTGAATCCCTCTGAAGCCAGGGTGTTCTCACATCCTATTCCCGTGAACAACGAGCAGATTGTGCTGCGAAATTATGGAGCTATGGACCACGATGTCGGTCGCCTGCCGGCTGGGAGACCTGTGCGACCGCTCAGTGGAAGCCGAAGCATGAGTTTCATGCAAGCGATGAGAAGGTTCGTCAACCTCCAGTTTGTTGTGAACATGGTGTTTATGAGTCAGAATTGTTCAGGGATTCTGTGCCTCGATTTTCAAGAGCGATTCCTCTTCGTTCATCGCGTCGTGCACCACCAAGATCGCTGTCAATTGGCGGCTTGACAGGATGGTCCAATGGCTATCAGCCTATTGGAGCGAGCCCAGCAAGTGATCGAACTCCATTACTAGATCCTCCTGATGAGCCGCCACCTAGTTACGAGGCGAGTTTTATTTCCAACCTATAAGTAGGTGTATTTGATACTTTACACTCGATCTCACGCTAGTTAACTGAGATTAAATCTCACTGGGAAGAAGCTCCAAGGTGAACGAAGCAGATAAAATGGAGGGAGAGGGGTCTGAGTACGTGCTAGAGCGTATGCTTCCTTGTGTTTTGCTTCCGGTACAGAGCAGTGGTCCCAAACGTGGTTAATGAACAGAGACCCAAAAGCATCACTGATGAGTTGTTTGGCCTACCAAATCCGGTCGACCGTCTAGCACCTGTTGGATATGTAGCCATAAGTTGGTGGTTTGCCTTATGGAACAAGACTTACGAATACTGGGAATCCTGGATACTAAGCAGGCTCGGGAGTGACATTCCAGGTAAGTACATTCAACCCAGTAACTAATAGCCTTCTTTCATGGTCGCGTAGGGCGGTGGAGCAGAAAACTGTAAAAGTATTTTACTTAGTTCAGTAAAAGCCGTTATAGCAATTAGCGACTGATACTGTAGCGACCATTCCCGGGTTGGGAATAAATCATTCGAATTGTATGAAGGAACATGACATACTGTAAGGCTGCATCCGCGGAATTGGGTCTCATTCTCCTCAGTAATGTCGTTTTCGTAAAAGTTGTCTTCTCTGATTTAGTGGTAGAACGAGGCAGTTGAAAAAATCGTTTCTAGCTGCACCAGGTGAAATCCAACCTTTAGATGCTCTTCCCTTTTCGTCCACCAAAGGCGTTCTAAATAACTCCGACTATTCAGGTGGCTCTCCGAATGTGCGCTCCATTGTACGATCGTTTGCGTCGTTCAATATCATCACGCCTCAATTCGCTCTCACAGTCAAGTTCGAAAGAATTGAAATCACTGACAGGCTACAGTAATGGCAACAGCTGTAGTCGACACAACAGTAAGGACCGCGATGATCACGGTCCCAATGTACCCTGACCAAATAATGGCCAAAAACAGACGGACCTCAGTCGCTTGAACCAAGCTGCTAGACTACTTGATTCACTTCCTGCTTCGGACCATTCACATTTGCTCAAACCGGTTACTCTTCGCATACTTTCTCCGTACTGATGGATTTGAGACTATTAATTAGTATTGCCTATTATTGTATTTATGCATATTGTTAGGAAGCTTTATTGTTGTGATTTTCTGATAAATTTTACATATACCATGCGGAAAAACATTAAATCGCTTCTTATTCATCCACTCCCGCTGACCATCGCAAAAGACACTTCACTAAGTGTGTTCTAAAAAGGACATTAGACCCAGAAACCATAAAAGAGTGCTCTGTGAGGTCCCACACAGCTATAGAAGAAAGTTGACAGAAGCGTGAAGAAAATTCCACATGTGGGGATTTCTTGTAACATCAGCTGATGATTATTTATTTTCATTTCTTCGCCGATTGGCTAATGGATATTCCCATAGGTTTCATTACGCTTCCTTCTTTTTTACTTCACTTCTAGGCCCAGCCAGAAATCTGGAGAAATCGTCTTGAAATCATCGAGATTTTTGACGTTGATCATTTCTGTCTGGGGGATGCGCCTAGGCATTCAACTTCAAGTCAGGAATTTGCGCCCACAAGCATTTACCCGGTACAGGCAGTTCCAAGAACCTGTCGGTATAGTAATCAGTCAGTGTTTTTATCCTCCCACACGACCCTGGATTTCTCGGACAGGTTTTCGTGAAGGAATGGAACCGTAGGTTACTCCACGCAAGTGTCTTTCTTGGATCTGATCCACTCACTAAATACACCATTACCCAACTTCCTCCGCCTCCTTGGATCAAATCGATTCCCAACTGGACCTCAAAGTGGTTGAGTGATTCATCGAACACCATTATTACCTTCACTCCTGCAGCGCTAAATTACGCCGTCTTCGCTTCACTCACAACTCGCTTATCCCGTGGAATGACTTGCTTTTAGGACAGGAGCCCCTCTTGGTCAGTGCACCAACGTACCCTGAGTTCGCAGTGGTTTTAAGAGGGGTTCCTATCTAGCTCCCTACCAAAATGCAGCACACACTGCCTTTAATTCGATCGAGTTTTTAGTACCTATGTCGTTGTTGTTGCTGTTTACATTTCATTACAGCTGTCACAAGCGAAAACATTCACCGTGAAATGTCAACAACGGTATCACTATCTCGAAGACAGATAGATTGACAGTCTTACTATCCAGACTCCCAAAATTTCTTGAGTCTTCAATACAAGCGCGTGATCGAGTTTCAGCAGCGGAAACTTCACGAAGGAGGAGTGAACACCTCGTGACAATTGTTCAGTTGCTGATTTTCGAAAAAACGAATTGTTGATTAACAAAAAACTGACCGGTATAAGGGCGTGCTAAACAAGTCCAGTGTGAAGACAGAGGCTACGAAACTAGTGTAACTCAGGTGAATTCAAGGGGATCTAAGAAATGTAGCGAGAAAATACGTTGTGAACAAAGCAGCTCGTAATTTTTGTGTCGAGATACCTTCAGAAAATGAGCTTGAAGCTAGTATAACATTCTCACTTGCCAGTTTGAGATGAAACGACTGTGACTGAGTGAAGTGAATGTAAACAGGTTATCAATTTCGTTTACGGAATAAGCCTTGCGTTCAACCTCCATTCAGGATCGTAGTGGCGTTGTGAATGCGTGTAGGGCATATACAATCAGCCTATACAATGACAGGGTAGGCAGCCGATAAGCAGTGGAGAATTTCTAGATGAGTCTTGGAGCTCTGGAGCATCCTCCCTTTCTTTTGCAAATATGTATATACTTACTGGTTGGGCTATGTATGCTTATGCATGCATTGTATGTCCACGACCGCTCATCCGTAGGCTTAAACCTTTTGCAGGTACTTTATCAGGTGATATCGAATTTCCGTGCAAACAGACAGACAGACAAACGCGAGTGCATTATATATAGTAAGGATCACACTGTTGAAGTGTATGCAACAGGAACCTGGGACGAATAGCGCTGTCAACGATCAATCTCATTCTGTGGTCTGATCCAGAACCTGATTTTCTTTCAGATTCAAAAACTCTGCTTTTTTTCAAGATGTCATGTTATGTTATATTTATTACGCTGCTAAGGCAGACGTGCCAACGGATGCATATTTCCTCCATATAGTTTGTTGAAGATAGTTATTAGCTGATTAAAGGCACAGTACACGATAAATGTGAGGTTCCTTTTTGTAGTCGAGGAGCGGAAGTGTAGTGTGGGAACAATTCATTGATAGTAGAAAAATAAGGCTCCTGGAAAGTAGGGAAAATGGAGATTGGACGAGATTGCCATGACGATGTAACATGGAAGAGGTATTTGGACGAGTTTCAGCTGTTGCAATTGCGCAAGGTGCCGGTGTAACTCGTCCACGCATACACACAGGACAATCTTTGAGCCTTTATAACGTCATATACCGGCCGTTTTCCGACGTGACAGCGCCACATGTGGAATACGAGGGGCCCAAAATTTATCCTGGGGGATTTCTCATGAGCCATTTTTATCATGAACTGTGCCTTTAATAAGTAAGTGTTCCTCTTTGAAAACAGTACAACAAACTCAGAGGGATCGAAACACTTTGCGGCTCGGAGGGTTCTTTTTGCAGTTCTGCTTATGTTAGCGTTAACTCTTAATATAAATGTTCCTGTGACATCACATTTTGAAATTCAATCCCTATTTGATTTCTGTAGCATTCCCACAATCTGTTAGGGCAAGAAATGTTTTCACTTAATATCGCAACCCAGTATTCGTTTACCTGTTGCAAAAAACTGATAGTTTTAATACGTATCAATCAAAATTCCAGTCACTACCCGATTTGCCTTACAACGCTCCTGATTAATTACTGAGTGAATCTGGACTGGACAACCCGTTTTCCATACTCTACTTGAAGAAAAAAGTTCTTGTTCGGCTTTATAGCAGACCATTATCGAAAGTCCCAGGAAATCATGTTTTCTCAGAGCTTCTCTTAATGTTTGCCATAGACATAGTTACGACGCTATCCATTCCTGTTCCAAAATGGTTATGATCTCGGAACCATACAATGAGTTCTGAAGATATTGAGAATCCTAGGTTCCTGCTCTTTTTTTGCCTCCGTCACTCTTTCCAGTCCTTCAGACTATTTCGGATAAGGTTGTGAACCGTTCGATCCCTCATAGTACACCCAGTAGGCTCTTACAAGCTGTGACAGGAAGCGTCTACCTGTGCGAACAGACTTTCTCACATTTTTTCGAATAAAACAATGCTCCATAGAAAAGGTTCCCTCATAGTTCAAGAAATCTTACAGTACTCCAAAAAATGAATATTGAGAGAACCTATTTTTTCATGTTTACTGGATCAGGCTGATCCTATATCCGCGATACAAGTTCTTTACCGAAAAATAAAAAAACAAATTTCTTTGATTGATTCGCTACTGCCGTCGTTCTCCGATAACTCTTGAGACTTCCTTGGGAGCCCGATAGCGGAAGACGTAATCGTAGATAGGCGCATACGTATAAAAGCTTGACAACGCTGATTAGACTGGTAGCAGCGTCATCATGGCTCAGCTCCTGCTTTTCCTTCTATCAACATGCCTGGTTATCGATGCTCTAGTGCGGTAAGTCATGTTACCCATAGGAATCGATTGTAGTTCTATAATATTGAATAGTTCAGTGTTCCTATGCACAAAACGACCTATGAACGAAGAGCATATAAGGTTAACTCCATAGCTGAATACCTAAAACAGAAGTACATCAAGGGCTATAAATTCGACTCCAATCTCGCCTACAATGAGGGGCTTTCCGATTATTCAAATGTAAGAAGCTATTGGAACTTTTACGGTCATACCTACTAAACCACTGGTTGTTTAGGCGCAATACTACGGTACCGTTCAAATTGGAACTCCACCACAGACATTTCAATTGCTTTTCGATACCGGCTCTTCAAACTTGTGGGTTCCTTGCAAAGGCTGCAGAGCCTCTGATTTGGCTTGCGATTTCCATCAAAAGGTAAGATGAGGCTTCTGCCTGGGCCGATTGCTTGCCATAATCACGCTTTTTAAGTTCGATTGCAAGAAATCCAAAACTTGCACGGAAACAGGAGCGCCGTTCGAGATCGAATACGGATCAGGATCCATGAAGGGAGTTGTCGACAACGATGTTGTCTGCGTGAGTCGTGTAGAGGCCATCAAATGAACTCTCATTTCAGCAGCTCATTTATGTTTATTCTAGTTTGGATCCGACCAGAAATGGTGTACTGATAAGACCCAAGGACTGGCATGCGCCACGCAGGAACCCGGATTGGCTTTTGTTGTGAGTTAGAAGTGACTGGACACAAGGAGACAGGTATTTTTATTGAGATGGTCATTTCAGGCCGCTAAGTTCGACGGCATTCTCGGCATGGGATGGGATCGCATCTCAGTGAACGGCATTCCTCAACCTATGGACCAGATCTTTGCCAATAAGGTTGCTTTTACTTCTTGAAGCCCTCAGTCATGTAAAATATACTCCTTGAAGTAAACAATTAGGAAAGGCTCAGCCTTGACGCTTCCTGTAAAATGTTTTGTAACCAAAGGTTGACCTTCTCTCAAAAGAATATTGTAGGCACTTTGCCCAGAAGCAGTTTTTGCTTTCTGGCTCAATCGTGACCTCAACAACAACGCTGCCGGTGGTGAAATGACCCTCTGTGGAACAGACCCTGCTCACTACAAGGTACCTAAGCAATATTTTCTCGTGAGAACAGATGGTGTTAACAAGATCATAGGGAAGCATCGCATGGGAGCCTCTGGTTTCTGAAGACTACTGGAGAATCAAACTGGGAGCTGTTACCATTGATGGAACGTCATACACCAATGGACCAGTAGATGCCATTGTCGACACTGGAACATCTCTTCTTACTGGACCAACTGATGCTATCAAGAAGGTGCGAATGGGTGCACAAGAAACCCGTTTCATGCTTATCTAAGATTTTGTTTTCAGATCCAAAAGAAGATCGGAGCTATTGCGATTATTAACGGCGAATACGAGATTGAATGCAGCCGTATCCCTAAATTGCCACCAATCACCTTCACGCTTGGCGGTCAAGACTTTGTTCTTCAAGGATCTGACTATATCCTGCAGGTGAATCGATTTGAAATCTTACCCACAGAAACGGCCACAATGCTAAATGGAGGCCGAATTCTGATGACGAGCTCATCAATGAGCACTTTCAGGTTGCCCAGAATGGTCAAACTACTTGCATCTCTGGATTCATGGGTTTGGACATTCCAGCTCCAGCAGGTATGCA